CCAAAGCCGTTGCCCCTCTGTCCCAGGAGAAGGATCTGACCGTGCGCTGCGAGCAGGACCTGGGGCCCATCGTCCTCATCCGCCTTCACAAGTGGCGGCTCTTCTTGGAGGACGCCTGGTTCTGCAAGGACGTTCGCGTGACGGGCCCCAATGGCACCCTTTACCGTTTCCCTTGCTACCAGTGGCTGGAAGGGGTCATCACGGTGGAATTCCGGGAGGGCTCCGGTAGGATACATCCCATCCTCATCCTCTTCTGCTAGCCAGGAGGTCCAACCTTCACCCCCTCTCTCCTTTCCAGGGAAGAAGCTGGCGGACGATGAGCTGGAGATCCTCAAGGAGCATCGGCGGCAGGAGCTGCAGGCGCGGCAGGAGGCTTACCAGTAAGAGCAGGGACGTAGGGATGGAAGCCCACCATGGTCAGGGTGGCTTGGCCAGCGGTGACGCCGGCGCCCGTCCCCCCGTCCCTGCCCGCAGGTGGAAGACCTTTGCCGAGGGCTGGCCCCGTTGCCTCAACGTGGACTCGGTCTTCGAGCTGGACTCCAACGTTCGGTTCTCCTGCGTGAGGGCCACCAACTTCAACGGTCTTCTCGTCTTCCAGTGAGTAACGCCCCAAGTTGGGGAAGGACCCGGATGACGGGGTAGAGGAACGTCAGCGGTGCTGGGGAAGGGATGGTGGGTGCTGAGGTCCGCCTCTCTCCCGTAGAACCGCCTCCCACCTTCTGGCAGGGTTCCTGGTGAGACCCACCTCCTGGAAAAGCCTGGATGAGATGCGTAGCATCTTCTCCCGGACGAAGGGCAGGGAGATCGGTGGGTGCTTTGTGTGTGTGTCCCCCCCCACTTCCACCCAGGGTGTCCCAGCTCGACGTGGAGGGTGGCCAGTTGGGCGCTGACGTCCGGCCACCCCCATAGTCCCTGAGTACGTGGCCGCCCACTGGCAAGAAGACGACTTTTTCGGCTACCAGTTCCTCAATGGCAACAACCCCATCGTCATCCGGCAATGCGCGGCGCTGCCGGCCAAATTCCCGGTGACGCCGGAGATGGTGGCCAACTTTTTGGGTGGCGGCACCAACCTGGATAAGGAGATGCGAGAAGGTCGAATCTTCATCGTGGACTACAACGTGTTGGAGGACATCCCGGCCGGCACCATCCATGGGCGCCAGCAATACATCACCGCGCCGCTCTGCTTGTTGCACCAGGGCACCGACGGGCTCCTACGTCCCATCGCCATCCAGGTAGAGACATTCCCACCCCAAAAAAACCCCAAAAAACAGGAGATGACTTCCACCGCCGCGACGGCGGCGGAGATAATCCCACCGCGCCGGTGACGTCCCCGCAGCTCGGTCAAACGCCGGGACCCTCCTGCCCCGTTTTTTTACCGAGCGACGCCGAGTGGGACTGGCTGTTGGCCAAGACTTGGGTGCGCAACGCCGACTTCTACAGCCACCAGCTCCTCGCCCACCTCTTGAGGACCCACCTCTTCGCCGAGGTCTTTGCCGTCGCCACCCTACGCCAACTGCCGTCCTGTCACCCCATCTTCAAGGTAAAGGTCCCAGTTCACCCAGTTCGGGACCAACCAGTTCGAGATCACCCAGTTTTCCCCCCTCCCACCCGTCGTCGTTCCGCTTGGTCGTCTCCAAAATCTCGGTTCTCCGCCGCCAGCTCCTCATCCCCCACTTCCATTTCACGTTGCACATCAACACGTTGGCCCGCAGCGTCCTCATCAACCCCGGCGGCGTCATCGATAAGGTGAGCCCTGGGGGTACTGGGAGCACTGGGGTCTACTGGGAGCACTGGGGGGGAGACACTGGGGTCTACTGGGAGGGCTGGGG